AGCTTTACAGACTAATAAAAGAAACTGGAATTAATAAGTCAAGTGTAAGTGAGATTATTTCGGAAAAAGATGATACTCTCATCTGCTCCCAGTCCAGGCGTTTAGAACGATGGGCGGAACATTTCAGAGAACACTTCAGCTGGCCTTCAGCTACTGTACAACTACCCTCTATTCCCAGACAGTGTGAATGGAACATTGAAGTAGGTCCCCCAACTCTTGCTGAAGTTCAAAAGGCTATAGTTAATCTGAAACGAGGAAGGGCAGCTGGTCCAGATGGATTGGCTCCAGAGGTCTTTAAGGATGGTGGCCCAATTTTAGCGATTAGGTTGACTAATATTTTAGCTAAGATCTGGGAATTAGACTTTATCCCATCTGACTGGTCACAATCACTTATCGTCCCAATATATAAGAAAGGGTTAAAATCATCCTGTGACAACCACAGAGGGATTAGTTTAACAAACATATTATCTAAAATACTGGCCTCGATAATTATCAGACGTCTAACTAAGACTCGTGAATTACAAACTCGAGAGAACCAAGCTGGCTTTAGACCTGGTCGTGGCTGCATCGACCACATATTCACCATTCGTCAGGTTCTAGAACACAGGCATACCTATCGGCGTCCGACGATTGTGGTATTTCTCGACTTAAAAGCAGCGTTTGACTCGGTAGACCGCGAGACTCTGTGGCAGTGTCTGTCATTGAAAGGCGTACCTCAGAAGTACATAAACCTTGTGAAGGCTCTTTACTCGAACACTACCAGTCGAGTCAGAGCTTATTGCGAACTGTCATCTGCTTTTGCAACCTCAAGTGGTGTCCGTCAAGGCTGTCCGCTTTCTTCATTTTTGTTTAACTTCATCATAGACCTATTGATGGAAATAACACTCTCGTCGACTGAATTTTCGTTCATTGATCTCCTACCAGGAGGTCCACTTATCGACTTAGAATACGCAGATGACATAGTCCTGTTTGGTGAAGACGCTGACAAAATGCAGAGTCTTCTGGTAGCACTAAGCAACAATGCCAGAATGTTTGGGATGCGCTTCTCTCCCTCTAAATGCAAGTTGTTGCTTCAGGACTGGTCTGCGTCAACACATGAACTAAGGATAGGGAGTGAAGTAGTCGAACGCGTCGACAACTTCACTTATCTTGGAAGTCTGATCAGCCCTAATGGGTTGGTGTCTGACGAAATCTCAGCACGGATTCGAAAAGCTCGTTTGGCTTTTGCCAACTTACGTCACCTATGACAAAGTCGAGATATCCGTCTATCAATAAAAGGACGAGTATACTGCGCGGCAGTCCGTTCTGTCTTACTTTACGGCAGCGAAACATGGCCTTTAAGAGTGGAAGACACCCGTAAGCTACTAGTATTTGACCACAGATGCCTTAGAAATATTGCTGGCATCTGCTGGGATCACCGGGTAAGTAATAGTGAGGTTAGACGCAGGGTATTAGGAAATGATGGTAAATCAGTTGATGAGGTTATGAATCTTCATCGACTGAGATGGTTGGGCCACGTATTACGTATGCCTGAACACCGATTACCACGACGTGCAATGCTAACCGGTGTAGGGGATGGTTGGAAGAAAGTTAGGGGCGGCCAAACCAAAACGTGGAATCAGTCCACAAAGTCACTAACTTCTAGTCTGAGCCATGTTGGTAGATGCAGACTACTTGGTTGGGGTCCGCGTGACTTTCGTAACCGATGGTTGGAGACTCTTGGTGACATGGCTCAGAATCGATCACAATGGCGTCGGTGTATACACTCCCTGTCTTCCCTTAAACTAAGAGATTAAAATCACTTCATATATTTCTTTCTACGAACTAATTCTTTCTTCCTATACTATATCCTTATTGCAACCTTTGACCTAACCACTCCTATGAATCCGGTGTTCATCTTGCTGTGCTAATGAGGTATGGCAACCTGGACCAATGCACATATGTGCCTGGTCCTACGTTGTAGCTGACTGATTTATACATATTACAAGTGTATGTTTTTAGTTTTAAGTCACAAGTTATTTAAGAGCTGATAATGCAGTGAGTGATGACTTGGTAGAGTAAACCGATTTATTGTTTTAAGCAAAATAACACAGTGCCTTTGTAAGTTATGAGAATTAGACATTAAATACATCATCTGCATATCATCCTTCAATTGTCCTTTACATATTCCACCATTCTCCCAATCGTTTTGTTATTACGATTTCACTCTATTTTCCTTCTTGTTCTTTTCATTTCGACCTTCTGCTGGTACGTATTCCACTTCCTATTCTTGCTACATACTACTTATATCTATCCACACTACAGTACTTCTATCCTTCTTAAACTGCACTAGCCTTGAGCGGAGATTGAACCTATGACTTCTTTTTTTCAGAAATCAATTAATTTGGTCGCCGATCAAGATGAATATCAAAATTTCGCATGATTCTCGCTGATAGTATAGTGAAGTAGTAAGCTAGGCATCGCGACAATAGTCAGTATTCGATGCACTAATTATACTGACGAAATGAACATCGTATAAACAATTGATATGGACACCATGGCTACTGAAATTGTCACGAGTATAATAATAGACAAGTCACAACATGAAGTAGTAGCAGTTAATAAAATGTCACAGATACGAGTCTTCAAAACGAACTTAGTGAACATGGCTAGTAAGTCCATATATGCGAAAGAATTATATGGAATTAGTCATCATTTCTATGCTGAATGTTCTGAATAATATACAATGCATACATTTAATGTAGTAGGATTGTCAAACACAGATACACAAGAATTCATTTACATCTATAAGTGTACATAGGTAGGTAAAGGTTTTGAACTGAATACATGAATAAACAGAAAATAACGAACACTATCACAATTACTCATTTTACCAAAACAACAACTACACCTATGGAAAAAAATCTAATGAAATTATATATAGGTGTGTCTTATTCTTTTTACAATGACCAAATGGATAGGTCAGCAATCTGAGTCACCACAGTATCAGGACAGGACATTACAGGCTGTTGATAAGTACGTAACACGAAAATGTATACTTCCTAGTAATGAGTCAGTGAAATAGTCATAAACACTTCACTTGGTAGTGTTTACTTGAATTTTCCCATTGTTGTTTAGGACTGCAATTGATCAGTGTCTTATTGGCATATGTGCTTACTGTGCGTATTGCCTTAATTCACAAGCATTATTAGCAAAGGTGGAGCGAACGGTACCGAGTTCGAGCCCCAGAGTGAACATCAATTTTGGGGTGGAGGCACACCCATCTGACGAGTCCCAAATAGGACAAAGCGTGCGTCCTGGATCCCACTGCTAGCCACTATCCATCTTTGGATATAATCTTAATCAATGACTGAATATCTTAAGCGATATGACTAAAAATTAGTTACAGTGAGAAAAACGCATTCACTGAGTTGTTTTTAATCTTATCCTAAATCGCAAGTGAGTTATTATTCGATTACTTCTATAATATGAGTGTAACATATGAACGGGATTAACACAGCTGCGATCGTCTCTCAGCCAGTTTATAGCTAATCCGAAAAAAGATTTTGTAGACTGATTATGAAAAAAGAAAAGTGATATGAGTGTGTAAACATATTTTACATGATGAATCTACTGTTCTTTGATAAGTTACTCTGCCTTTAAAACTGACGGAACAGTAAGAAGTCATCCTTGTGGATATCGACTTTTCGTCTTCTCAAACCTTTATAAAGACTCGAATAGGCTTTTTAATTCCCTGGATTGTTCTTAGGGATAGGTATTTAGAGTAAGGATCAGAGTTAGTTTTCATCACGAACTAACACCACCTACAACTCAATAATGTACTGTAACCATATGAATGAATTTCGTGCACAAAAACAAAACGTTACTTTATTAGTTCGTTCAAGAAATATAGCACCACCAAGCTAATGTTTATTTCAAGGTTAAGGGTTAGTGCCGAATAAACGTACGGTGCCTCGAGTCCTTCTATGGTTATCATCTATCCCTATCCCAAATAAAGTTGAATGATTCGAGATGCGATTACCGACCTTATACCGTAGGAAATAACCTTGTTGAAAAACGCCGATCAGTGGGATAACCACTCACGTACAATCAATCAGACAGAACCGAGTATTCGATATGCTTAATATTATCATTTTTAGCCTATGGTAGCAAACAGTAATTTTTCGCTACCATTTTGAGCGGTATACAAAAGTACTTCTACCACTCATTATACGTGATATTTGAATTTTGCTCAGAAACTCAAAAGTTACACTGTAGACTCTGACTGGCTAATCGATACTATACTTTTCTTGCTGTCATTGTTTAAAATCGGCTTTCTTTTTTGAGACTTTTCCTGTATTCTTAACATCTCATTAGTCTGTAGTTCCTTCGAAACCTTCAGTCACCAACTTCTAGTTTCGGTTATCAGATTGTCTCAATCTCGAACTTGTGTTATTTACAATTGTTGCCAAATGTATATGTAACCATATATCATTATTACAAATTGCATTTAGTGCAATACTTTGAAAACATTTGGTTAACATATATTGATATGAGAAAGATTGGTTGAAAAAAGAGCAAGTAATCTGTCTACATACATATACAGCACTAACAAGCAAACAAAAAAGATATACAGCTACTCGAAGTTCAACAATTGGTATCTTCACAATTCATATAAAAATACAAAGATAATACACATGGAGGTATATGTTTTTTTTTAAAAAAAAAGGTGGAGAACAGGAAGGAAACAGGAAACTCTTCAGATTACAGTCAATAAACAGGTAAACATAGAAAGATATACAGTGTATGTATATACATACTCGACCAAGTAAAACATGAACAGGCCTAACAAGCAATTAAATGAGTTATGAACTGAAAATCAAGATTTTTTGGATGATAAACAAAAATAAACTGGAATATAGTTTTTTTCTTCAAATAAAGAACTATGATTACATATAAGAAGAAATAGACGCATTGCAGTCATGTATGACCCATAGATCTCTCTTCCTGAACCCCATTATTTATTCTATGGATTCTTTAAACTTATCCACATCAGCGCTATCTTTTAAATTCAATTGTTCATTAAATGTATTAGTTGAGATTTCATGAGAATCACAAACTACAGTCTCATTATTACCAAGAACACTATCATTATCACTATCATGACTATATAAATTAGTTGTTGAACTTCTTTGAATTGCTTCATTCATTCTTTTAAGATTTGATTTAGTTGATAGTAAACAAGGTGTTGTTTTTGAATTATTTAACAAATCATTTGTATTCTCTATATTTTCTGTTGATAATCCTGTCTTCAATCGTGTACCACGAGCTGGATTAAAATGATTACAATAACAGCATCGAAATGCTAAGAATAGGCAGTCGTGTAGTCGAGATGTGACAGCGTGGAGAAGGGGAAAGGAATGAAAATGAGTAAAAAAAAGATTATTGTAAAGCATAAATAAGTATATATTTAAAAAATTGTAAATAACGAAATAATAGTGGCCCTAAGATGTAAGGACATAATTTAGTCGGAAAATACCTAGAATTCAGTTAGTTACAAAGTACTTTTTTAGGTAATCAACACAAAAGTGCATATTTTATAAACTGGACTCTGATATTATAAGACTTCTAGATGGCATTGGAGATTTATACCAAAAAAGGGGATTAGAATGGTGGTGTAACCTTTGTATGAATGGTCTCAGCATGAACTTCTGATGTAGTGAACGAATGTAGGGTAAACCAATTTATTGTATTACGCAAAATCACGCGCTGCATTTCTAAAATATGAAAATGATACGTTGAATGCATCATTTGTACATCGTCCTTAAATTGTCACTTACAAGTTCCATCGTCTTTTCATTCCTTTTACTACTTGAACTGCATTTGCTTTTTTTTCTGTTTTCCTCTTCTATATGTAAGAATCCTACTTCCAAATCTCGGCACCTACTACTTATATCTGCCCGTATACGCAGCACACACCACATCGACTGTATTAGTAAACAACATCATTCATCAACAGCGTAAACTTCATAGTAAAGTGATAGAATGAAATTTCCTCACAAATGCCTACTAATATCTTTTACGTTTGAAATGAAGTTCAAAGTTAGTTGTCAATAGTGGTGCTAATGATATTTACAAATTGACATTGTTCTTCTACTCAATGATTGATAATAGGTTGAATTTAAATGTTTACTAATTAATATATGACATGGACTAGTTCAGTGGTTGAAGCCATCGACTTTTGACCAATGGAATGTAGGTTTGCAAACTGTTTCGGTTATTTTCATCTATGAATCCAGTAGATATTCCTATCCCTACCCTAAACACAGTCAAAGCCATTCCATGATGTGGACTGTCTTTAAATCATGTGATCTACACCGCTTTATCATTCTAACAATAATCATTCTCTTGGTAGTGACTTTGAAAGTAAATTAAGGATTCCTAGTAGGAAACCGCGACTAGTAGAGTATAACTATGTCCAAAATGAAACAGTTATCAACAGTAGGATTGAATGATGATCGTGCAATATTCTGAACTCAATTAACTTGGAAATACAGAACATTCTATGATGTATTGGCGGTTTAAATGTAATGTGCACGATGAGAGATTTTATTTTCCATCTCCGACTAAATGGTACGTCCAAAATGAGGAGCCTAAATTTTGAGATAAAACATTATTTACAGGTTTTTAATGTTTATTCGTTTGTGATTTACGCTACCTTCGTATGATTAAATCAGGTAATACTACATGCTTTAAGATAGCAGTACAATCTAAATCGTTACTTACATGAATTGGGATTCGAAATAATTGGTGAAAAGCTGATCTTTGGTTACTTTGGGTTTATTTAATTACATTTTATACATAGGCAAGCGTGTTCTCTATTTTTTTAATTAGTTCCTACTTCCACATAAAATTACATTGGTTTCTTTTAATAATCAAGCATAAGTTCAGCTGATTATTCATCATCTATCACTTTACAACTATTCTATCTTAACAGTACCAGATCGAAGAAATGTCAAAAAATTAACGGTATTTGATAGAGAACAAATCGGTTTTCAACACTTCATAAAAAATTATATTATTTGAATTGTTAGTAAACTAACCTAAATATTCAAATTCTTCCTGTAGTGCCATTCCATTGTGTGATGAACATTCATTACAAATTAGTGCAAATCGTTTATCGGGACCATCACCAACTAATGCATCTAAAACTTTATCAATAATTGAACGTTCTCTAGGTAAAAGCGGTCTTAATAACCGCGGTTTTTTAGAATACAGTGTTTGATTACTCCCGACCATAGGGGTACTCGACTGTGCAGTTAAACTTGAACCTATTTAAAAAAGTCATTGAATTGCAATGAATTATATACAATTTCGTTTATTGTATCTGATTATTTTTATATTAATAGTTTGTAATATAAGCATGTTATTTCATTACATACTCTATAACTGTTGGAAATGTGAAATCGGTAAATCAAAATCGATTTAAGGTGAATTTAAGGTCAACTTTTAATACATTTCCACTATGCTACTTCATGAACTATTAATGTATTTTTACTATGATTTGTGTTTAGTGATGATTACTGATTAATACAGACGTAGTTTGTATTCCCCATTTTTTTTGGAACCTTCACCATAACGTCTTCCTTTCAAGACTTCTCTTTTCTCTATTTTAACTACGAAGAAGCGAACCATCGTAGAAGTGTATTAGACTTTCATCTTGATTAGGTTTGAGCAGCTGAGGAGTATCCCCAGACCACATACAAACTCAATTATTTGTGTGGCACATATATATTTTAGTGCCTCCTTGGTACCAATGTTTATGTGCTTAAATAAACAAATATCGTCGATTATACCCAATTTACATAGATCTTGTTCCGTTTAGTGGAATTAGTTCAACCATCTTACTTCAGCCCATAACAACAACAATAGGAATGGAGATAGAAATTGATCATTAAACTGATTATACTGAATAAATGAAAACCACTATGCATCCAGTCAATGAAATCAAGGACAGAAATTATTAAAATTGAAATATATATGTCACTAACTCGAACCAAATACAGCTCAAAATGTATTGTAGATGGGGATATGAATTTATGGGATTACATTATCAACCCAACGACTGATGATTTGACCCAACCGAAATTCGTCAAATTCTATCTAAAAATTGATCTAAATGGGAAGTACAAACTAACACTATCACTTATCCTACGTGACCACAAGTATTTTTATACAGTTATTTACTGGACTTATTTTTCGTCATGAAGCCCAGATACTGAATGTTGATTCGACTTGCCTTAGTTTACAAAACTAATGATTTTGAAACCGTGCGTTGACAGTTTAGTCATTCACAATCAATGTAGAGCCTGGTACAAAAATGCATCAGCCCAAGTTAGCTATAGCATTTGATTTTCCGTTAAGAGATTTCAAGTGCTAATTTCGTTTAGTAATTGGAGTAGGATTGCTATATCTCACAATAGCAGTATGACCCAATGCCGAGTGTATTGGGATGTAATTGATAAACCAACTATAATGACTTGTAATGATTGATAGACAAGTCATAAATAGGATAGATGAAAAGTCTCACTGTTTATCCAACCAAAATGGGGTGTTACGCTAACTAGCAATTTTGTTTGCAAGAACTATCTATTTGAATATGTGGTGCGAAAATCCTTGATAAATTAGGGCTAAATAAAATGAAATTACACTTCTGTCAAACGGAAACAATAACATTATATCATGCTGAAGACGAAAATACTATCAGTCAGTCAGTCAGTTATACGGAGTGTAGAATCTGACATGTGTGCATCGGATTAAGTTGGCATACTACATTAACACGTCCAGATAGTTATTTTAACACAAGTCCCAGAGTAGCAGCAGAAGTAGAAGGCTAGGAATAGAAAATGAAAAAAGGTGTAAGATTTCGGGACAAAAAATCTAAAGGATGACAAGGAGAACACACCTGTACCATCAAGATAAATCAGTAGCCATATCACAAGAAATCTCCAAACCTTAGTTACCGTAATCATGCTGACCCCGATCAGGCAGTTTGCACCTGTTGCCATGGCTCAGTCCAGTTGTCAACCACTCCACAAACTGGTGCTACGTCTCGGTCTGACTACTTTTAGATTCCTTCCAGACTACTATATCGGACAACATTGCTCGTTGAGGTAAGCGGTGGTTGTAAATACGTAACACATCTCTCAAACACCTTAGTTGATGGAAATTCACTACCTAGTATCCTATGTCTAATCTCAGCATCGATCCCAAAATAAACGAACGATGCTTCGAAGACAAGATCGGATACGAGTAACCTATGAATATCCCCTCTTCTTAATGGCTATGTTTCACACCCATAAAAATAGAACAGAGCAAACTGCTTGGCAGTTAACTCATCTTTTTTGATTGGGGAACATATATCTCACCTACGCAACAAGTGGCACAAGATTCCAAAAGACAACCGAGCTTTCTCAATTTTTGCCCGGATTCCGTCAAACTATGTTACTTAAACTGATGTAAAGTATACTTAACATTTTATATAAAATTGCACATCTGTACTAGGCCATGAGGAGTATCTAGTGTCAAGGATCAGAATGAATCCTTTGTCAACAACCATTCTAAAAACCTTATAGGTAGATTTTTTGGTTAGATATGAAACTGGACAGTTAAACAATAAAATTACATTTCTGACGACATAAAAACAAGATACTGCCACCATTTTACACCATAATTGTTTTATCCGTTAATGCCTTCTGGATTTTAATATTTGCACTAAGCAATGATTTCAAGTTGCACACATTTTAGAGATTATCTCTTGATCGTTTGGAATTATATCCAGTTGAACACTACTTCTTAACACTACATACTTGTTGCTACACTTTGAAAATATGACAATCAGCTGCTAAATACCAGTGTCCGATTCGGCATAGATAACCAAAGTCAAAAGAACAGTAGTAAGCAGTTATCTCCAGGTGTATAAAGACTTGTAGAGGAATTCGTGGTGAGACTATAGTTTATGGACGAACCAATCAGATTAAAAATAGCAGGTCTTGGATTTCGGCGCAAAACTCGTCCTCATTTAAATACTATTTTGGCATTATAGCTGTCAGCTCGTGATGAAACACTAAATATTATTTCCAACGTCAACGTACAACGGTGAATCCTAATCCTAATTCCTCACATTAATCTATAATTCTCATTTAACCGTAGTAGATAGGTGGACATTTCAAGGTCATTTTGGCGCTGCCCAAAGTCGTCCATAAATTATAGTCTCACTGAAATCGTATGCAAATACATAAAAATGTCCTGAAATGTTACGGAAATGAGAAAAATTCATATCCTTTATTGTTTTGCAGTTTTGTGTACGAGAACTTAAAATATATAGAAACGAAAAATTACCGAATACAAAATTAATCGACCTGCAAGCTTCAGCTTGAAAGTAGTATTCCTACCTAACAATCCTTGAGTTAAATGTTTATCCCCCGAATTATTCCTACGGCGTACTTCGGAATGAGGAGTAACGAGGTTAATCATCGATCCAAAAACCGGTTTGGGGGTCTTTTTTTCCTGCTTACAAGAAATGACAATATACGTTCTCTTACCTCAACAGCTATAGAAGCAAATGTTAATGGATCAAAACGTTTGAGAATCTGTTGGGCCTTGTTGAACGTCTCCTTTTCCATCACCTCTTCTAACTTGCATTAAAAATAAACACATCTATTAGAACGCACCAATTTTTGTTTATCAGCCCGGAGCTTTTTTAGTTTTTCATCTAGAAACAAATTTACGAAACACAACACTACTAACTCGTCTTATTTACGCGTCTAGTGAACATAATCCGAAAGATATACTTCAGAAAATATACACTAAAAAGTTATTCAGCTTAAAATATGATTACCAAAAAGGATATACCGCAAATATCATACATATCACCACTTTTCCAGTTACTGTACTTGGCCAGTAGTAGTAATAAACTGTTATAAAACTCAAGCCAAAGAATATGAATGAGTAGAAAATCAGTCGGAAAACGAATTGTTTTTCTGAGTCTATACTGTTAGACCGATCACTTTCCAGTTCCAAAATTTCCTAATTACTGATAATTAAATGTCAAAAAACTTACATCATCAATGTCCTCTAGTTGATCAACAATGGACTTTTTGGACCTCTAAAATACTACATATATATTTTATTTCATGAAACCTTGAAGATCCAAAACATGTATTTCTTAGCCCAGCTCATGAGACGACAGCACGACCATGACCTTGAAGAGGTTTGATAGAGGCGCTGTCCAGTCTTCAGTCTTCAGTAATAAGGATAGGAGGTCTGTCGACCTATATTAATCCTTGCAGTTTGTAATACTGTGGAGGTCCAATCTCGTTTTGAATATATTAACAGATGGAGCTGATATTACGTGTTCCGGTAGAGAATTCCAGTAATTCACTACTCGGTGCGAGAAACGGAACTTCAAACGTAAACGGTTTGATCTCGGTTTTTGAACTTTCTTCGAATGTCCTCTCAAATGATCAATCCTAGACGGAAGCAAAAGATAAGACATGTTAATACCAAGGTCATCGTTCAGTATACGATAGGCCAATATTAGATCACCCCTTATTCTACGGTAAGATAACGGAAATAAGTTAAGGTGTCTCAGTCTGTCTTCATAAGATAGGCCAGATAGACCTTGTACCATCTTAGTAGCTCGTCGTTGGACTCTTTCTAGCATATTTGCTTCGTACTTGAAACAAGGACACGCTGCTTGAATCCCGTATTCTAAATGTGGTCGCACATAAATCTGTTATAGTAATCTAAACATTTCATCATCTAAATACTGGAAAGACCTACGAATTGACCATAATACCCTATAGCCTTTCGCAGCAGCAGCCTTACAGTGACTAGTCGTTTTGAGATCATTGCTTAATATAACTCCTAAGTCTATAGTTTCTTGCTTTGGGTAGCACGAATCCACGTAGTGTATATTCATACGATTCATCAGAGTTATTTAACTGCATCACTACACTCTTATTAGGATTTACTTCTAGTGACCACCTGTCTAACCATGCCACCAATGAGCTAAGATCGTCCTATCCGAAATGCTATGTATGGGTCTCCAAATCTTTATGTCATCAGCGAAGAGTAGAACGGGTGATTTTGCTACAGTTGGCAATTCATTTACATAAAGTAGAAGGAGAAGAGGACCTAGGATTGTACCTTGGGGAACCCCACGTTTTACAGGTACCCACGAAGAGAGGGCCCCATTAACCCTTACCCTTTGTCTCCTGTCATGGAGAAAGTTACTTATCCAATCGACGACTGTATAATGGATTCCAAAACGTTTCAGCTTGAATTTAAGACCAGAGTGTGAAACTTTATCAAAGGCTTTACTTAGATCTATGAAAATTACATCCACAGGAGCATTCCGATCCTTTGCCGCAACCCACTCTTCTCGTGCAATGAGAAGATTTGTCAAGCAAGATAGGCCTTTCCGAAAACCATGTTGTGCCCTGGAGAAAATATTTTGCCCTTCAACATAGTTTATAACAGCTATCCGAATGATTTTCTCCATCAATTTCACAACTGCACTAGTTAAGCTAACGGGTCTATAGTTACTAACTAGATCCCTACTCCCAGCCTTATACACCGGACTTACTATGGGGTCTTTCCAGTCTCTAGGAAGTCTGGACTGTCTCAGAGACATGTCGAATAGTATCGCTAATGGTTCAGCGATTTCATCTGATATGGCTTTCATAATCCTAGGATGAATATCATCGGGACCACTGGACTTATCAGGTTTGAGATGCTGAAGTAGCCTTAAAACAGTATCTTTCTCAATGACTACAGGATCCATCAGCGAGCCGTCACGGTCGCGACGAATCATTGGTCGTTCCTCATTACCGATAGAAAACACTTTACTAAAGTATTCCGATAAAGCTTCAGCTTTTTCGGCATCATTCTCTGCTAAGATTAACGGATTGTCTCGTATCAAAAGTGATGGAATTCCATCGCTTTTCTTAGTTCTCCTTTTTATATACGAGAATAACCGTTTCGGACTATATCTAGAATCCCTAACCAACTGTTTTTCGTATGATAGTCTAGTTTTACTTATTAACGCTTTACAGGCATTCCTAATCTTACAGTAACTGGATCTGTATTGTTCTAAGCCAGTAGAGATGAACATATCCCAGTGATTCTTCCTTTTTCTAAGGAGTTTCCTGACCGTTTTAGTTATCCATGGTGGACTATTATTCGGTCTTCGCGATACCAGGTATGGTATGAACGGGGACGTAACTAGTCTAAATTTACCTTTATATACAGACCATGCTTCTTCAACTAATATGCTAGTATCTTCTAACCAATCTGTCTTAGTAGCACATTCCTGAATGGCTGATATGTTAGCTTTCCATACATTTGGGTGAGGTGTAACCTGATCGTATAACATGTCCCTAGTTCGAAACGTGAATGACAAAACAGCATGATCGCTGTTCACTAACGGTGGGAGAATATTTAAGTCGAAAATATCCTCAGTCTCATGAGTGATTACCAAATCCAGCAGAGAAGAACCCTGGTTAACACCAAAACGTGTGGGTTGGGATACATGCTGTACTAGTTCATGCTCCATTATTGTCATCAGGAACTTACTATCAAAGGAGTTTATAGATCCTTCTGTGGTCATCTCAGTCCAACTAATATGAGGTGCAATAAAGTCTCCTATTATCAAACATCTGGTATTTTCACTCCAAAGATGAATGTGCTCTAAAACAAAGTCATCAGCTAGACAGATTGGGCTGCGATAGATGACACCTAGCATAAATGTACTACATCCTATTGCCAACTTACAGCTAATGACTTCACAAGTGCCGCTATCATGGGATTCGCTAATAGAGGAGCGTATATTTATGCTATTGGCTATGTATAACAGGACGCCGCCTCCTTTCCTACATCTATGTTTATCACTCCTGATGCAATGGTATCCGGATAATTCTGGAGTAATGTCTAAGTCATGGACTAACGAAGTTTCTGTCACTGCTACTATGAGTGGCTTTAACCTGTCTGCTTGTGCTTCTAGTTCATAGAACTTATTTCGTAGACTACGAGCGTTGGCATATAAAACTCCTAGGTAGAACAGCCTATCCACACAGGCCTTGGTAGCATTCGCTCCCAAGACTTGACTATCCGAAAACCCACTAGCCGGAGATTTTCCTCGCCGTTTTGCCGACGGGTTTCAAGCTCAGCTAGTGCTTTCTTCCTTTTTATTCTATCTTCGAGAGACATGTCAGGTCTAACTCGGATGTCAGAATTGTCGTGACAACGAGCGCTACTTAACAAGAGATCCCGTTGCTTCTCCGATCCTAGGATTACCTTAAGGAGTGTGCATGGACGGGGTTCAACATTGTCCTCGGTCCTCTTACCTATTCTTACCAATTTTTTGACCTGAACTCCTTTGGAGTTATCTGGTAAAATACTACGAATGTATTCTCCTAGCTTTTCTAAGTCATGCGCGTGTCTAATTTTCGGATCAGGGTCATTTGACTCCCGCAATTTGCTCACAATAATATTCGATGTTATTAGATTTTTCTTCTCAGTCACGCCAGGATGAGTTTCACTCTTACCTTCAGATTTTGGTAGTGCAATTTGTGGCTCACAATTTGGGTCCACCAGTGAGTTACTAACTGCCTGTGTACTGCTTACAGCTTTTTTCTTTTCGTTTCGTTTCCTACGTACCGTAGTCCATTTTTCATCCCTCATAAAACTGGGACTATTTGGAACGGTGACTGTTTTATCCAGATCTACGGTTCCCACTAAAGGTGCATTATTAACAATGTCAGTACTAGGTGGTACTACTCCCCCTGTTAATATCAACGAAGATTTCACTTTTACGTCGGTCAGAGTCGGTTTTTTGAGGCGTCGCGTAACAACACTGACACATTCGTCACTGTCAGTGCCCGTGTTGTCGGCGCATATGCCATCATTCTTCTTACAGGCCAAAGCCAATAGGCTCATAGCCTCCTGTATTAGCAATGCCTTGTTGGCACAGCAAAACATGCAAAGCCAATGTGAGTTAGGCTTCGAACATCTTTTATATGCAGTGGGACTTAAACGGGTGCACATTTTGTGGAACCATTTATTGCATTCGTCACACTGCATTCCGTTTTCCACAGGGAACAAACAGTTTGGTTGTCCACATTTGTGGGTACTACCAACCATTTTAGTCTGATTAATGTGTAATACACAATATGATCACAGTATGAACCACAAGACAAACTCTAGCAAGATGTCAAACCTTAACTAAAGTACTTTAAAGTATCAATTGATACAGACCAAGAATGCTTTCGAATGTAATAAATACACAAAAGCCAAAAAACTCAGTAAAAAATCGCCTTAACTGGAGTAGATTCAATTAAAGTGTAAATCGTAGTTTTGATACGTAATTTACGATCAAAACAGTTTAAAAATTTAACGAGAAACAATACCACTGTCCTTTTTAGATAGATATCAAACGTTCAGTCTTCAGTGATACAAATAGTAGGTTGGTGGAACTGTGTTAATCCTTACAGTTTGTTTTCCAATGAATGTCCGGCTTCTCCTTGAGATTATTCACTGATGAGGCTGATATCAGTTTTCGGGTAAGGCATTTTAGTCATTGACCACTCCATGAGAAAAACGGAACCTCCCCGTGTTCATTAAGTCGTGGTTCTGAACCTTCTTGCTATGACCTCGAAGATTAGCCCTGAAGGGAGTTAGAATATGAGACATTTTAATAGTCAAATCGTAATTAAAGATATGGAATGCCAAAAAATGATCATCTCGTGTCCTACGATACGATAGGGGGAAAGGTTTAGGCGATTTAAGCGTTCATCGTACAGGAAGTTTAAAAAATACTTTTCAGCAATTTTGTCCTCATACACTAAACACGATCAAGTGAGCAACTATGCTTAATAAAAAATTAACCGTATGTTTGGATACAGTACTCTGATTTTGGTTCTACATAGGTGGCATATAAAACTGGAAACATCTCATCAAACCATCTGAATGCTCGGCGAAGTAACCATAACTCATGGAAAATTTCGGCAAGTTCTACGCTGCAATGTGTAGTTGTTTTGAAGAGGTGAATTACTATTGCTCTTATGTCTTTATGTTCCTGCACACATGGAAGTGATGTGTAGAATTTTGTTCTACTTCGTTATTAGTACTGCCCTAAAAATAGACCTGATCTTTGAATGGTAGGTTTGTCACATTGTAGCTGTCTAATCTATGAGATCTTACGTGGAAGTCACAGCATTGTTTACATTGACTCATCGTATCGTAACAATTACCAATATATGATAGAGAACACGTTCAGGCTGGAGATAGGACAATATATTTAGAATGAGTGAAAACAAATCATACAGAATGACTGCTCCTTCAAGGCTTAGCCATACCACCCGATTGGATTCAATTGAGCGAATTCTTCCCGCTCTCTCCATTGATGGGTTTCTTCCTGCATTAAATGTTGAACATCTATTTTCCCAGTTGTCTCGTGTTCAGATTTGAGGATTGTGTGTTAAGAGGCCAATGCCACTACACTATTCTCTCACCAGAATCAACGTAACGTTGGCTCGATACCAAATTGAGTAGAATTGTCGCGCTTCAGAGGTTTCCAAGAAAAATAATAGTACTTTGGGTGTTGATGAGCTGAAAGATAAATCAAGAAAAAAGCGGCAGAAACTGATCGAGAAATATCTATAATAATTTTAAAATGTTTGATTTTATTCTTAACACTCGAAAAATGAAAATTTAGGTGATTATATAGGAGTTTAAGAAAGTGGGGTTATCACAGTCAAGAATGATTTCTTTTATGTATATTTTAATAAATCATCGTAAGATGCGTAGTAATAGCCGTTGGGAAATAGCTTAACATACAGGTATTTCATGTTTAAAAATATTTAAAACAGCTAATATCGTAGAAATGTTACCATTAGTATTATTTTTGGTTTAAATTATGTAGTCAAATAAGGTTTATTCCGGTAAGCTGTCCATATGGGTTGATTCTCAATTGCATCTGTATTAGTAGGCTAAGTGAAAGAACAAAAGAATAACCGTGGAGAAGAAGAATTCCAACTAGTGTTCCAGTTAAATTATTAAGTTTGATACGATTTATTTAGCTACGGGGATATTTTCTCAAACTCATTATTACTTGACTGTGACAGAATTTAGTAATACTATTAATACATATGAATGGTTATAAAAAAGTTTTACGTGAGAATAATGATAATTATTCGCGTTTTGGACATTTAACTAATAGCGAATAGTTAAACATGATTGTATTTGTGAGAGATATGCCCAAGTCTCATGTTATTTATATTCATACCAACCGGCTCATAGTGCATACAAGTTAGTTGCAAGTATGGAGTTTAGCGTAATGTAGGCAGCGACTTATTACAAATATAGTGATTAGGAATTGTTGAAATCGATAGAGCCTATGCGACATAGACATATATGCTGTGATGTTGGACGATGCTTCCGGCTGAATAAATCTTTACAAGATCATAAACAGTGAGTGATGCTCATGTGATTATCAGGGAGAACATAAGTTGTAACCAAAGGAGTACATTCCCAGCAGTAAAATCTAAAATATTTTAAGTTGACAAATTGGTAAGACAATGACTAAGCGCAACAAAAAATCGTTATTCTCTATTTTCCGAATAAATCACATACAGACTGTTCAAAAGAAAATAATAGTATATTTCTGCGAGGGCAGAGACACGCCATTTTGACAGACACGATATACAGATTACAACATTTGTTGGCCCACAGTATGCTTTCCAAGTAAGGTCGTTAATTAGATATAGTAAATAACAGTACGTTCGTGCAAATGTCTTGAAGCGTGAGTGATTAGGCTTGTACTTTAGTATTACACTGAGCACAGCCTTCAAAATTTTTACAAAGTGGCATCGCATCCACGTTACACACCAGATCCAATCTCCGCATTATTGTGTTGGAATTCTGGTTGTGCTAAGTATCTCTGCAACACAACTTTATAAGTACACATTTGTTATAAAGTAGATTTGTAGAGCACTTTGTGTTGACCATGAACTTGAGGAAACGCGCACGTCAAGTTTGTTACAGATGTCAGAAGTTCCATAGCTGTGCATATATAGTGTGAAGTGTTAAGAAAACTAGTAACTATATCTTTTATTGTCTGATTTTTTTCATCCAATGCCAGCCACACAGTCGTAGTGCAAAAGTCCGAGTTAGCATGTCATAGGGTGTCTTGGTGGACAATTTCTTAATGTTCTGACATTCCATTCCACATTCCACATGCATTTGAGCAGGGAATCTTTTTACTGCACGTGTATTTTAGATTTAAGTGTCAATGACTTAAAACAGTGATTCGGGTTGTTGCCCAGAGTTAGTAACTGATTAATGAAAGGTGCAGCCGATATAGCCTTTCTACTGACAGATGTCCGACTCAGATAAATACTCAACCCTTGATTTCTCTGTCTGAAGATTCTAAAGAATGATCAAATCTAAAAATAACTGCATTATAGGTATTACTGTTCAACAGATCACGCCTTTACTTACTTACTTACGCCTGTTACTCCTCGTGGAGGACTATGAGACAACGACAAGCCCTTCAAATACAATAACTCGTCCACGTACTATGTTATTAGTCCACAGTCATTCACCCTTTTGTTAAAAGCACGGCAAATGAGAAAGCTGAAAAGGATTATGTTGGCTTGTTCATGAGTGGTTCGTACTGGAGCAATCTCAACCTGAACACGGTCCATGACAAACGACACTGATTATTTCCGTAAACCGATCTAATATCCAGATTACATCGACTCTCTTTTCTATCAGCGTCCATGTTAATAGACTCGAATGACGGCGACCGAAGATAGCAGTTATCACTGACTGAAACAAGTACCTATGCAGAAGTCAGGGCTTTAAATGATTTCCTCAGAGGAAATCATGTAACTATAAACAGCACTCACGCAATAAGCGGAATGAACACACTAGATATTGAAGACAAATAGATGATTAAAAAGCATTTCGACCATAAGAATAGGGAAATCTATCACATTCCACTAATTCTATGAATCAAAATAAAAATTGATCACCTTCACATTAGGCAGTTCTAAAGTCCACATTAGTACATCAAACAAAAACAATCAGTCTTCAGTAATAAGGATAGTAGGTTGGTGAACCTGTATTAATCCTGACACATTGCTTTCCAGCGAAGGTCCAGCTTTTCCTTGAAAGTATTCACTGATGGGGCTGATACCACTTATTCGGGTAAGGCGTTCCAATCATTGGCTACTCGATGAGAAAAACGGGACCCCACTTTAAGTTTATTAGATCGTGGTTTATGAACCTTCTTGCTATGACCTCGGAGATTATCAGTGCTGGAGGGAGCAAACAGATGAGACATATTAACACCCAAATCATAATTAAAGATACGAAATGCCAGTATAAGGTCACCTCGTGTTCTACGATACGACAAGGGGAAAAGGTTTGGGCTTTTTAAACGCTCATCGTAAGGGAGTCTAGAAAGACCCTTCACTAATTTCGTTCCCACACGCTGGACACGCTTAAGGGAGTTAGTATCCTTTACCAGAATCGAGCTAGCTGCTTGGATACAGTACTCTAAATGTGGTCTAACATATATGGGATACAAAATTCGAAACATTTCCTAGTCAAAAGATTTGAACGCTCAGCGAAGTGACCATAACGCACGAAAACCTTTGACAGTGGCTGCTTTGCAATGCGTAGTTGTTTTTAAGTCATGATTTATTAATACTCCTAAGTCTTTATGTTCTTGAGCGCATGGAAGAGGTTTACCATCAATAGTGAAGATGACACTGGCATTCAGTGTTTGACAACGCTTCTACCAGTAACACCTTCTAATATAATTTGTACCCACCAAGAGAAATCAAAAGACAGAGTCGAGGAGATCGGAAGAGTGTATTTGGCGATTAGCAGTATATCGGAATTATCTGTTCTAATCAGGCTAGCGATTGCGGTAGATGTTGAGCACAGCGTTACCACACGTGATCTGGTGCGGATGCATGACCGAGCGCCTTTAGCTAGATGAGTCCACTAAAACATATGGTCAGCATCCAATGTCGAAAACTTACAGAGCTATTTATCTTGGTGATTTATTTACCGCTACAATAGTATAACGGTAACTATTACCGTGACCGATGTGCATTAGCACACTCTTCCTAAAATTGGTTTCTAAGCCCCAATCTTCAGTCTATCTAACTAAATCGTCTAAGTCAACTTGAAGATCCAGACCAGCTGCACTTTTTATTGTTCCCCGGATTTTTACATCATCCGCAAACAATAATGTCGACGACCTAAGTAACAGCGGTAACTCATTAACGTAAAGGAGGAAGAGCAGAGGGCCTAAGATGGTGCCTTGGGGTACACCGATTTTGACCGGCTTACAATCGGATAGCGTTCCGTTGACCCTCACTCTCTGTCTGCGGTCACATAAGAAATTTCCTATCCACAATCATAGCACTATCAGTAGTAATTCTCCAGAAATCTCTACTTAACCAGTAACCCATTACAATTCTTCAGGCACAGACCCCAAGGAACTGACTAGATAGTGACGGTGTCCAAAAAAGTTTGAACTTTCTAGTTTTAAGGTTGTATGACCTCGCACTTTTACGGTTCGAAGGTCGTGTGCATTTATGTGCAATGCCCGTGTTGAGCCCTCTCGAGTTTCGTGATTGTGTTGTGGACAGCCCGAATTTCCGAAAGGCTTTGTCAGACCATGAGGCAGACTTAAAAATCGCAAACAAGAAAGTCAAAAGTGTTTTAGTGAACACAAGAAGAGTTTTCGAAGCTATGGAATGTAAGTTTTTCGTGGACATATTTCTAATAAATTTCCATAAGTTATATGATTAGTCGTCTTCTAAGTATTTAATATGTTCTTAATTCAGCGTGGTAGTCACTATATTAAATCTATTGTTTGATAATTGATGTTTTGTTGTTTGGACTTACCATTGTGCTTTAGATCATTAATTAAGCCACATTATTGTGAAAGAAAAAGTAAAAAAGCAGCGTGATAGTAGTAAAATTGTTTAACATGTAGGGTTCATTTGGCACAAATCTCCATCTCTGCTGATAATCAGGGCAGTCAAACCAAGTTTTCCTAGCAATAATGAACTTAGAGTATGATCTAGCACAGCTTTTAGATTTTAAGACATGCCATTTGTGTGTAACTCGTTAGGATTGTATAAGCTATGCAATTTTTATCATTTTGTCGTGTGAGAACTGGACTGGCATCACTATTATCGATGCCAGGAAGGTTTTTCAACAGTATGTTGTCGATCCGAATGAAAGTTTCTGTGGATGCCCAACTTCTAGAACGATAGGTTGGATTCCGCAGAGTTTAATAGTGTACAGATCAAATTGCGACACGGATCATTGTTAAGCAATCAGCTGGATAGAATTCAAATGGTTCAAATGGTTGTGGACGGAATAGAAGCTTTCGCTTAACGTGCTTCCGTATCTAGTAGCAGAGGATCACCAAATCCTCCAGGCAGAAACCTAGGTATGTTAACAATAAAGGAGGAAAAGAAATTAGTAAATCATAGTGTGATACTATTCTTGGTCCTTAAGAATAGATCAAGTTGCCTCTTAAAAGACTCCTGGGAATTCGCTTGGACTAGCTTGGCCGGCAGCGAATTCCAGCATTTGACAACTCTTAAGAAGTAGGAGTTGTGCCTACACTCCGCTCTGCTATGTTGTGTCTCCCGTTTTTGGGTGTAATCCCTTAGGTTAGTGTTCGAACTAAGCTTAAGTAGGTGTTTGAGAGGATGTCCAGAAGTGGTAAGGATACTGTAAGCCATCAGAAAATCACCTCTAAAACGTCTATACTTTAGTGAGTAAAGGTTAAGTAAATGGAGGCGCTCTTCGTAAGGTTTAAATTTGAGTCCTCTAACTGATTTCGTGGCTCGCCGTTGTATACGCTCCAGGGTGTCCTTGTCCTTTTGGAGTGAGGTAGGAAATACTATGTTTCCGTACTCTAAATGGGGACGGATAAAACTATTGGAGATTATATGTAAAGTTCTTCCGTCAAACTGGCCAAAAATGCGCTTCAATGTTACCAGTGCAAGATTTGCTCAGAAGGCATTTTTGTCACAGTTAGCATAAGACTTTAAATCGTAGGGCACCAGGACTCCTAAATCTTTTTCGACTTGGGATACTACTTGAGAGGAGTTTGCTAAGTTATAACTAGTCTGCGACATGTCACTATACATAAACTTACTTGACCACGAGGAAGCGTTTGACAGCGTGGATAGGAGAGCCTTATGGAACCTTCAACATTATAATGTACTCGAGAAAATCGTCAGCATCATTGGGGATTTATACGACGGACTGCGCTTCAAGGTCTTGCATAGAGGACAGCTGGCAGATACATTCAAATTAAGGACCGGAGTCAGTCAAGACTGCCTACTCTCACTCTTCCGCCTTCTTCTGGTGGTTTACTGGAATGTGAAGACCTCGACATCTGAGGGAAAGCACGGAATGTAATGGTTAGCTCGGAATCTACTAGAAGATTTGGACTTCGCAGATGACCTTGCCCTTCTACCTCATACACACGAAAAAATGCAGATGAAAACAACTAGTGTATCAGAAGCCTCTTCCACAGTAGGCTTGGACATTCACAAGAGAAAAATCGAAATCCCCAACTTCCACTCGGAGAACACCAACCCAATCATACTTGATGGTGAAACTCTGGAGGAGGCGGAATCTTTCACGTACTTGGTCAGCCTCATTGATGAAAATGTGCGATCAGATGTAGACGTTAAATCAAGCTTTTCTTTGGCTTGCTCTTCTAATAGCCGTTAAGAACAGCCGAAAAGTCTGTATATCTGCGTAGTTTTGTGAGTTTTGATGTTGGCGTGACCAATGAGATTGTTTGTTTGCTTGAACACAAACATTGAGACAAGTAGGCACTTATATATATATATATATATATATATATATATATATATATATATATATATATGCGCCACACAATAAAAATGGGATTGTGAATTGATAGGGAACGTAAGGTGAGTTTAATGGCAAAAGGACAAAGATGAATATGAATTAGTAACTGAGAGTGAAATAAAAGTAAACTAATAATAATTATTATAATTGCATAAGAAGATCAATCAGAAATAATACAACCATAAAGCGTTCTTTCAGTTAAAGAAGTTGCTCTCACTTTTATGAAGAAAGTATAAAAAGATTACAACAGAATCGCCACTGGTTTCTATACTGATTCATGTTTGGTAACCCTTCAAAGCAATATGACACCATCTCTAGAACCCCAACCAAGGATTTGTGAAGGACTAACAAAAGCCAGTCACGTACGGCTTTTTCTCATAATACGAAACCATGTCGCACTCTGGCCACCCCTCTGCTTTTCCCAGCCAATTCCCACCGTTGGAAAACAATGCACGTTATGGAATTAGCTTGGACGATATTCGTAGTACATTTTTAAGCCACCAAAGTCAGTTTTTCAAGATATTAACATCAACTGAATAATCGTCATTGTGCCTGAACACACGTTGCCGACCCTCTGCATTACCACCATGGTATCGCCACTGAATGTCCATAGTCAACTCTGAGAGGCCAGGTTTTACAAGAGTAAAGCAAAGCTGTTCTCATCGACGCATCATAGATCCGATCCTTTACAGCTAGACTTACATCACAAAGGTGCCAAAGATGCCTCAGATTGGCATAATCCTCTCTGGTTTTTATAATACATGAATTGATCTCATCACTCATTCCACCACCAGCACCTGCAGAGCCACTCAGATACATAAACCTCTCGATTGCTTCTAACTGCTCATTATCAAGAGTGAATGCAGGTCCTAAGTCCTGCCAGTCTTGTAAAAGTACTTTGCACTTCGAAGGTGCAAAGCACGTACCATACCTACGGATACTGATTGCCAACTGATTAAGTGCGGATTGGATGGCTTGAGTATAATCGCACAGTAAGACAACATTATCCGCATACTCAAGGTAGAAAAGTATTTCTCTGTGCAATAGGTTCACCCAACTAGTACGTACATCCATCAAATCTGCTTCCAGAACGTTATCGATAGAAATGTTGGGGAGGAAGTTTGAGATTGGGCAATTCTGTCTAACCCCACTGCTTCAATTAAACGATGGAGATAGGTGGTTGTATGTCCTCGGTTTGTCTAAATTGTTTGTATGTAGGACCTTCAAAGTGCTAATAAACCCTTCAGATCCACTCTTCTTCAACAGGAAGTATCATAAAACGGCCTTGTCCAACGAAATGGAGGCTGCTTTAATGTCAAGAAACACTACAATTTTTGGACTGCAATAAGTATAGCAGTGTTCGAACAATTGGCAGAGGGTGAAAATATGATAAATACATCGTTGATCTAAACAAAAACCAATCTACTTCTCGTGAATTAACTTTATATTGAGTACTATAAAGCTATTCTCTTAATAATACTTGACCTACTGAAATTGATAAGTTCATAACTAAGACATTTTATAACTTCATTTTTAGTAACTTTCCAGATCATGAAAAGAATTTAGAACTGTACCTTTAAAAACATCTAAGAGATATATAACAAAAACATTATTTTATGCAGACCCTAATACTTTAACAAATTGATATATTCGTCTTCAATAAAAAAATGCATCTGCTATTTCATCAAATAAAAAACTACTTGTATAAATATATGAAATCTCGTACTACACAGCTGTTAGATACATTTATGGTAATATTATCCTCTTGATTATCTGCTGTGAAATTTTCAAAAAAGTAACAGTTTATAAATATGTAGAATATTTTAGTGTAATCTCTGAATAAAATTCGGAAGGACTTTTTGACTGTGAATTTATTAAAAACAAAAATCATGACATTATTTGATATAGAATAGGTAGAATATGGTCAGTAGTGGCATCCAGGGTGCTCATTTCTCCCTATTTAAAACTCATCAGCTGAATGTATTTACATTCCTGAGTTGATATTCACCTCGGGACTTGAACCCGGTATCGTTTGTTTCGAACTCCATTACATTATCCACTTAGCCACTGAGTCCAAATAGCCAATCATTTGTGCCACGTCACTTATCATACGTTGTTAAGTTGTACAAATGGTTGATTATGAATAAAGCTATATATTCGGCGAAATATATGAAATACGATCTCAGTGAAGATGTGAATTCCGTCAATGTTTCAGATGAGTCGTTTCAGTAATCCCAAGCATTTGTGTGAAAAATTGTCGTAAGACTAGCTATATATTTCTTTAAAGCATCTAGTCATGTTGTGATACTTAATTCAACAGAACGCGAATACTTTTAGCTGTAACAATGACTCTCTCAAATTCACTTAATCATTAGTTCATTTCAACAAGCCATGTGTTTGTCACACTTTAATTTAGACTTTAATTTTTTAGGCATTATTTCCTTGTTAAATTTTCAGACAAAGTGGTTGTATTATACTTTATAATGCATCAGTTATTTATATATGTCTCAATGTAGTCTTTTTCATGTGTGCGACAATCCTCAGTAAATATCTGTTTGATTAATACATAATTACAAATGTAAGATAATATCAGTATAGGTACCTCATCAGTGGAATTTTGACACGAATAAATAACTCATAAAAGTGGTCAATTAGTCGTGATCAGCTTGTATTGGCATAAATGTATATCAGCTCAAGTTTCAATACCACATCAGTGTGGTGAGATGAAACTAACAAAATGATTAGAAAAGTTAGTCAGTCAGTCAGTAACAACGTAGAACTTCGTACGTACGTACGTACATCAGTTCAACTTGCCACACCACCTTAGCACAGAGATGCAGTTGTCGATTCAAA